CAATTACATTCAGTTATATCCTAGAAGGCGTTGACGTACAATGTGTGAATCACATTAAGGATCTGTTAGAATACTGCTGCCCTGTATGGAATCCCAATTACCTAAACAGTATACAAAAAGTAGAGTCTATTCAACGACGATTCATCTGGTTTGCCTTTCGACGATTGCCTTGGAGGGATCCTTATCGCCTTCCATCCTACGAAATTCGCTGCCAGTTAATTCACCTGGATCCTTTGTGGAGTCGAAGAGATACGACAAGGGCCCTGTTTGTAGCAGACGTTCAACCACGAGCACTCCGCAACAACGCAATGCTGAGGATACCTTTTCGTCGCACAAACTATAGTTCGTATGGTGCTATCAATGGGCTACAAAAGGTTTTCAATCGTGTTGCTCCCTTATTTGATTTTCACTTGGCACGCTGCGTCAGATATTCCGTGATATATTTTTAAGAATTAGGAATTAAGTTGGACTTCACGGCCTTTACAGCTTGTTACTTCTTGACTGTATTGTATTTCCTATTATTGCTTAATCCATCATTAGGGCTAAACCCAGTCTGTTGATGTAGAACCAAATAAACAAATACGTACCATATAGTAAGAATTTTCAACAATAGAACTCGGCTGAAAGTCTCCTTAATAAAGATATAAAAAAAACAATAGAACAACAATACAATTAACGGTAAATGGCTCAGGTTTGTTCGGAAACAAGTGATTTCTCGTATGGTTAACAAACATAACAATCCCCTTCTATTGTACAGATTTCCCCATTTACCATAGATTCTATTCTGGAAACAATACATTCTATGATTATTTTATCGTTGTGGACAATACTAGTTATTGTACATGCAATAAATTCTACTGTACGGTTGCAATGCATTTAATTGTACCTCTATGGTTATTTTTTTTACACACAGACAGATTATTAGATTATCAGATTATATTATTATTTTAACTGTTTAAAAACAATACATTTTGCAATACTATTTCTAATGTAGTCAGTGTATAATAACGTTGAAAATTCAGAAGAAACGGTAAAATCACAATTTTACTTTGAATTTCATGTTACAACATAGAAAAAACCACATAGGACGTTTTGACAAGTCGAGTTGTACATCGGACATGTTACATTGGACGATTTTTCTCAATGACATAATCAATGAGTGTTACATTGGACGTTTTGTTCTACATGATACTAGATTCCCTTTCACAGATTTCAGAGTAGGATACATAACTTAATACCCTATACAGACTATAGAGATTTTCACGTCCGGTTGTATTGGTGCGATATGTGAGAGTGTGTTACTGAATATTCGAGGAAAATACATAACAAATACATAACGATGTCAAACTCATTTTGACATATCTACTTTCATACATTTTTTAGGTTGGCCAGAGGAAAATAATAAACAACTTTACACGGTGTTGCTCCCGCTAGTGTGCGTGCGTTAAACGTCACTAATCTCTATGGCTTGTATCATGTAATATAGGCTGTCTTGAAATGAGCACTCATACATAGGATTTCCAGTGAAAACTAGATGTATGAGTGCTCATTGCAAGACAGCCTATATTACATGATATAAGCCATAGTCTGTCCAGGGTATAAGATTGGCCCCGCCTTTAGAAAATGAGCACCAATCATGTTAGGCAGTCCGATCGAAGTAACAATCATGTACCCATCATTTCAAACTGTACGTTGGACAATGTTTAACCTATGATTATCTTAAATAAATTAAAGTGAATTTGGATGGGTGTTTTTGTATCACATACAATGAAAGAAAAGCAATAGTTTGTATCGATTAACTCGATTTGTTTACGTTTGTTATCTAGGAACTTTTGAAAAGTGACGCGTTATTATGATACACTGAAACAAATCCATTGGCAAAAATGCTATATTGCTGGTTTAAATTAAATACTCTCACCAATAGATTTTTGCAGAAAACAAAATCATTTAATTTTACTATTATTTCTATCAAAATCACTATGCATTTTGAGCATGTATAGTAGTTTTGCCAGAATCATAGTAAATTTGTTAAAATTCATAGTCAACTATACTGAATTCATAGTAGATTTAACAGTAATAAGCGTGGTTATGTTGATAATAAGTGTTTTCTGCAAAATAGTACTCCTAACTATGGTCCTTGTTTCAGTGTATACACCGGAATTAGTTTTCATGCACGGTAAGAAAAAAGTATTTAATATTAGGTAAACAGTTCATACTGCACTGTTGGGTAAAACATTCACGTTCATTTATAATGAATATACTCAATAATAGAGATTAGTGACTTTTAACGCACGCACACTAGGGGGAGCAACGCCGTGTAAAGTTGTTTACTATTTTCCTCTGGCTAACCTTAAAGATGTATGAAAGTAGATCTGTCAAAATGAGTTTGACATCGATTTGTTATGTATTTTCCTCGGATATTCACTAACACGCTTTCACATATCGCACCAATACAACCGGGCGTGAAAATCTCTATCCAGTATTTTACGATCGCTTATGGCCGCCACAATCTAGCTGAGTTTCTGGTAGGGAACATAAGATTTGAAGTTTGGCTTGTGTCGTTTGACGTGTAAACGATCAAATTTGAACGTTTACACGTCAAACGACACAACCCAAACGTCAAATCATATGTTCCCTACCAAAAACTCAGCCAGATTGTGGCGGCCATAAGCGCTCGTAAAATGCTGGATAGGGGAAATGGCTCTAATGTTGACCTATGGATCTAAGATTGGGCCCATACCTAAAAATCTGCTATTTTTTAATTTTATTCAACTAGGAACGCGTCATTGGGACGGTTACTTACCTTACCAATCAGGCTAAGGCCTTGTTGTCCTCTGCTGTCCGAAGAAGTCATCTCCACTCTACTCGATTCATGGCCACACTTTGCCAGCCTCGTAGTCTGCGAAGGGTCCGCAGGTGGCGCCTCTTCTTGTTGTTCCTGTAGGGTCGCTTTCTAGAACCATTTTCACCGTGATCGCCCATTTTTTGCAATATGGACGATAGATGGTTCTCCCAGCAGCTGGTGCAATTCGTGGTTCATTCGCCTCCTCCACGTTCCGTCATCCATCTGCACTCCACCGTAGATGGTACGCAACACCTTCCGTTCGAAAACACCAAGCGCGTTGGTCCTCCACGAGCATAGTCCAGGTCTCGTGGCCGTAGAGGACCACCGGTCTAATCAGCGCCTTGTAGATAGTCAACTTCGTGCGGCGGCGAACTTTATTCGACCGGAGCGTCCTCCGGAGTCCAAAGTAGACACGATTCCCTGCCATAATGCGTCTTTGAATTTCTCTGCTGGTATCATTTTCGGCGGTCACCAGTGAGCTCAAATGCACAAACTCATCAACCACCACGATTTCGTCACCGTTAATCTAAACTCAGGATGGAAGGCTAATATTGTCTTCGCTAGAACCTCTTCCTTTCATGTATTTTGTCTTCAATGCGTTGATGGCAAGTCCAATTCGCCTAGTTTCAGCCTTCAGTCTGATGTACATTTCCGCTACCGTCTCAAAGTTCCGTGCCATGATGTCGATGTCATCGGTGAAGCCAAGAAGCTGGATGGACTTTCTGAAGATCGTGTCACTCGTGTCTATCTCAGCTGTTCTTATCACACCTTCTAACGCGATGTTGAATAGCAGACACAAAAGTCCATCACCTTGCCGTAACCCCCTTCGAGATTCAAAGGGACTCGAGAGTGTCCCCGATACTCGAACTACGCACATCACTCGATCCATCGCCGCCTTGACCTATCGCGTCAGTTTATCCGGAAATCCTGCATAATCTGCCATAGCTGATCTCGATCGATTGTTTCGTATGCGGATTTGAAATCGATGAACAAATGATGTGTGGGCACGTTGTATTCGCGGCATTTCTGCAGAACCTTCCGAATCGCGAAAATTTGGTCCGTGGTAGTGCGGGCACCCATGAATCCCGCCTGATATTGCCCCACGAACTCTCTTGCAAATGGTGACAGGCGGCGGCATAGAATTTAAGGGAGTACCTCAACAGTGTGATCGCGCGGTAGTTACAGCAATCCAACTTTTTGTAGATTGGGCATACGACATCGTCCTTACACTCATCCGGTAATATCTCCTCCTCCCAAATCTTGGCAATTACCCAGTGCAGCGCTCTAGCCAGTGCTTCACCACCGTATTTTAATAGCTCACTTGATAGTTGATCTACACCAGTTGCTTTGTTGTTCTTCAGCCGACCGATCTCCTCCTCAACTTCTTGAAGATCAGGGGCCGGTAGCCTGTCGTCTTCTGCGCGTGCTCCAAGGTCTGTTGCCGTGCCACCTTCGTTTTCTGCTGCATCACCGTTGAGGTGCTCGTCAAGTACATAATACCATAGAGGTAACTCTAAGACTAGAAGGTCCCGCAGAAACGTGCTCAACTTTTTGGCACAGCTCTGATGGTACTCTCATCGGTCCCAAGCTAATCGATTCACCCCTCGAAACATAGGAAAAACCAATAACCCCTCATTTTATCTGTCAAACTTTCATAGCGAATCAAAACAAACATTGCGTAGTACTAGAATTTCGACTAGAATAGGGTACGTTAATCGTTTGCTTGGGACCAATAGGCTACTAAAGTGGTGAGCCAATTTAAAATCGTTAGTTTCGTATTGATTGTTGATAATACTGCTTCCACCTCTCAATCACCTCACACTCGTTCGTGAGAAGGTTGCCGTCCAAGTCCTTGCACATATCGGCTTGCGGCACGTAGCCTTTCCGCGAACTATTTAGCTTTTCGTAGAACTTCCGTGTGTCGTTTACGAGGTATAGATTTTCCATAGCCTCACGATCTCGGTCTTCCTGCTGACGCTTCTTTCTTCGGAAAACCGAGTTCTGTCTGCTGCGCGTTTGTCTGTATCGCTCCACATTCAATCTCGTGCGGTGTTGCAGCATTCTCGCCCAGTTGACAGCTAAGCCCCGTGCGTGAAAGACGTGTTTCTTTTATCCGTTTCGTTATCAGGTTACAAGCTAATGAGTTTTCTATCAGATGGGTACTAAACGTGAGAACACCTTGGTAGTAGACTTTAGGGTGTTGCCGAAGCGACCAGATGCATCTGCCGTACAGAAATTCATGTACGGTGAGTTGAAACTGGACATAGCGGACGCCTTAAATATCCAGTTCCACAATGTTAGAAACTGTGTCTACGTCGAGATGGTAGATACAGCAACAGCCAAGCGCTACTTTGCATCACACCATCTACAACACACTATGCAGTGCGAGAAAAAAGCTTACAAAATTCCCGTGTTCGTGGAAGACGAAGCCGTTAACGTGAGAATCCATGATCTCCCTCCGAAAACACCTAACACGGTGATTATAGAAAGTATGCGACCATACGGTACTATTCTTTCCATCAGCAGAGAAATGTGGAAGAATAATTTTCCCGGCATCTACAATGGAGTACGTGTAGTACGGATGAAACTCAAACAACTCATCCATTCCTATCTGACGATCGATGGTGAGAAAACATTGATTACATATCGCAATCAAGCAAAAACCTGTAGGTTCTGTGGACAAAAGGCTCATCCCCGAAAAAAGTGTAATATCTCTACATCACGCATTACTGTCAATGACCCTACAGACGCAGAAAAGGTCACAAACGATGAAAACAGCGAACAAACATTACTCGATACCAATCAAACCCAATCTACAATAGGCGAAACCAGCAAAAACACCCAGCACCAACACTCCGATGGAAACAATAGCGCACAAGAATCGACGGATAGTGAATCGGATGAATTTCTAACCGTCACCAACAAACGAAGGTTGTCAACGAAACAAAAACACAACAATGCGAAACGATATATTACGAACCATGGTTGCAGGGTTGCCAGAATGATGAATCAGCAGGAAATGAAAATTCGATGAAAGGAGCAAAAATAAGCAGCTAGGAAGAAAGTGAAAAAAAAAATGAATTTGAATTATAACTGTATTTTCATATATTATTTTTCAGAGACGAACCAGCCTACGGCTGAAAGTCTCTTTAATAAAGAAATCAATCAAAATCAAGCATTCTCGCCCGTGCTGCATTCTTCTCCTCTACTAATAGTTATCATTCGCCGTCAAACCAGTCATTTCTTCGGTCCGGAATCGCAGTACCTAGTGCCGCTGCAGCAGTACTACCATAGAGGTAACTCTAAGACCACTGGGTCCCGAAGAAAATCATTATTATTTTTGGCTCACTCAGTACCAGAACAACGGTCCCAAGCAGTCCCAAGCTATTTCACTCACCCCTGCATGTTCTGCATGAATCCACACACCCCTGATGTTATCTGTCAAACTTTCATAGCGAATCAAAACAAACATAGTGTAGTAATAGAATTTCAACTAGAATAGGGATTTTAAATTGGCTCACCACTTTAGTAGCCTATTGGTCCCAAGCAAACGATTAACGTACCCTATTCTAGTCGAAATTCTAGTACGACGCAATGTTTGTTTTGATTCGCTATGAAAGTTTGACAGATAAAATGAGGGGTTATTGGTTTTTCCTATGTTTCGAGGGGTGATTCGACAAGCTTGGGACCGAAGATAGTACCAGAGGTGAGCCAAAAAGTTGAGCACGTTTCTTCGGGACCTACTTGTCTTAGAGTTACCTCTATGGTACTACCTATGGCTGAACGGATGTCCCTCCAGCCATCTTCAAGAGAAGCTGCGCCAAGCTGCTCTTCCGTGGGTAGTACAGCTTCCAGCTGCTGCGCGTAGTCCTGGGTAACTTCGGCGTCCCGTAGTTGCTCAATGTTGGGTCGCAGCGTTCGACTTCGACGGGTGTTATGCACCATCGAGAGTTTTGAGCGCATGCATACTGCAACTAGGTAGTGGTCCGAATCTATGTTCGCACTGCGGTACATGCGGACGTTGATAATGTCGGAGAAGAATTTCTCGTCGATTAGAACGTGATCAATTTGGTTTTTTGTGTGTTGGTCAGGTGATCTCCATGTGACTTTGTGGATATCCTTGCGAGGGAAAAATGTACTTCGGACTACCATACCCCGAGAGGCTGCAAAGTTCACGCATCGTTGGCCGTTGTCGTTTGATACGGCATGCAGGTTGTTTGGTCCGATTGACGGTCTATACATTGCCTCCCGTCCTACCTGAGCGTTCATGTCGCCTATGACGATTTTGACGTCCCGTTGCGAACAGCCGTCGTACACCTGCTCCAGCTGCGCATAGAACGCTTCTTTCTCGTCGTCGACGTTGATGATGCTGTAGTTGAAGAACGGCCCTTAATCCTCAACTTGCACATTCTCGCGTTGATCAACTGCCAACCAATCACGCGTTGGCGCATCTTACCCAGCACTACAAAGACGGTTTCCAGCTCATTGGTGGTGCCACAGCTCTGGTAGAAAGTAGCCGCTCGATGTCCGGTTTTCCATACCTTTTGTCCCGTCCAGCAAAATTCATGCAGTGCTACGACTTCAAAGTTGCGTGGTTGAAGTTCGTCGTAGATTAACTTATCGCAGCCCGGGAAGCCGAGCGATTTGCAGTTCCTTATTCCGAGTTTCCAATCGTAGTCCTTATTTCGTCGCGTAGGTCTGTGCCGATTGTTCAGTTTATGTTTTTTTTTAGGGCGGCTTGTTGAGCCTGCCCCAACCCCTGTCTCGCCGGGGGACCATCGTGCACAGCTCTGTTTAGAGTCCCACGCTGGGCACTAGGACAGTGATAGTAAGAAGATATTTTGAAGCGAAGGATTATCGAAAGGACATGTAAGCATATTTGAACACACACATGTCCTTTCGATTATGCATTCTTCGCTTCTCAATATCTCAATATAGCCAACAATAGCACACTTTGAAATCTTATGCAGTTTTTCGTATGAACACTACCACCATTGTTTAAGCACAGTGCCTTCCAAAGTGTAGTGTGAACACAGTGATCAATAAATGGGAATAAATGAATGTTTAAACCAACTGGAACAACACTTCTATTGCTAGACAGTCGAAACGGTTCATAATTCAGAACATTTCAATGACTGTTTTATGGTGGCTTTAAAGACGAATGTTTCATATGTTAATTGGAGGGCTAGCGGATGGATTACAGCACCAAGGATGAGAAGTCGACGTCAGCTGGAGAAGAGATGCATGGAATTTCGGAACTAAACAGCTTCAGAGGTATTGATTCATTTACAAAATAATTTATTTCAACGATAGAGAATTTCGTTTGGGATTTTAGAAATCGGGAATAACTTTTCTTTAAAAGACGTAAACGTACAATAAATAGACGGTGACGACCCAGAACATAAAATTTCAACACCTCCCGACTCCAATAGGAGCGCAAACAAAGCTAGTACATTACATTTTGATTTCCTGTTTCCCTCTATAGGATAAATCTATTCTAATTTAGTATTCCGCAATTTGTGTAGGTGTATGTAAGGTACAAACAAACAAACTTACGTTTCGATCACAGCATTCGAATAGAGCGTTTGCTCACGTTCGTCGTAGATGCATTTAGCGAAGTTGATCTGAAAGGAGATTTAGAGAAAGGTTACGGTTCGTTTCAAGATCATAAAGTCGAGAAAACAAAACTTACGTGATGACAGATTTTCTTGGCGATTTCCTCGTTCTGGCACCGAACACGTGGTCGCTTGACCATTTCCGGTGCGCTAGGGGTCAGCGACTTCGATGGGAGCGTCAAACAAAATTCAATGTAGGTCGTCCGCTTGGTCCGCGGGATCGGATCCGACATGGTCGGCGGTGGAATCACGACCGAATGGCACGAGATGATCTCGCTGAGGCGATAGTGGAACACGATCGTCGTGGTGTCATCATTCTTGGAGAAGCCCCACACATTCTCGGCCGAAACGAGTAGTCGCATTTTTGAATCTTTGGTATCTAGCAGGCATGGTTCGTATGCCATGAAGTGTTCCGAAAAGTTCCGCTTGTTGATCAGGAACAGGTACTGTTGACCTTTACTTTGAAGGCTCGAGTACGATGGGAGAAGGCCACCGGGAGCTCCCGTAACCACCCGTGGATGTCGTTTGCGTTCCGGTAGGATTCGATTGGAACTTTTGCTTTGCTCCCGGACGGCGTTGGCCGTTTCAGATGCTAGATCTAGCATTCCAATGACGGGTTTGGTTACGGTTCCTACCAGACCTTTACCTAGACCGGTGACAAATCCGGAGAACCCATCATTTACGGCGCCGTGATAGGTGTGCTTGACGACACTGGTCACTCCTCCCAGCAGACCAAAAGTAAATCCTTTGAATCCTGCCACTAGATGGTCTCCGGTTGTACTTCCACTACCACCTGATACGTCCAGAATTTTTTGTCGCGCTTCGACATGTTCGTCATCGAATACGACCTTACCCAGCCCATCGGAAATGGTCTCCGTCAGTTTGGCCGTCGAGTTGGAAATGCCGTGCGTCACGTTCTTGACCAACGAAGAAATTGATCCTTCCAGCAGTAGTCCGGAAACTCCTTCAGTAAGATCGTTGGCAAACCCAAGTGGATTGCCTAGGAAGTCCACAGACCCTAGAATGGAGGCCGCTTGCCATTTGAGCTCCTGCTTGTAGTGCGACTTGACCGAGTTCAAGTACGCGTCCATGGTTTCGAAGTGGTACTTGTGCGTGAATTTTTCGAAGTTGATGACGGCGTCTTCAAACTTGATAAAGGTGAACCCGAGATTGCGCTTGATTTCGGCGAATTCTGGTACCAACTTGGAAGTCGTAATGAAGCTCAACCGAATTTGGCTAGGTACGATCTGTAGGTCACCAAAGTAGTAGCGCTTCACGTTGGCGTCTAGGACTTTGTAGACGATTTTCTGCACTTCATAATCGGTTTCGTCCGGTAGGGCCGTTGGATCGGTGGTGCTTTTGGCCAAACCGGTGAATTTGATCAATCGAAGTATTAGGCGCTCTTCCAGGTAGACCGCTACCGGCCGAATGCTTAGAATAAAGTGCTCGAAGATGATGGCATTAGTGTTGGGGCTGGGTAGCAACTTGACGTTCAGCTGCAGCGAGGACAGTCCCGATCGATTCGGAGAGTCATTGTTCGAAGGTGGGTTGATCGTGTACAGCGTTATTGGACAGGAGGTCTCGAAGAGTTGATTGTCGATTTGCATGTCACCTACACTGAAGTCCAGGGAGAGGACACTGGGCGTGGAGATAAGTTCCATGTTGATGTCTTCCAGAGTTACGTAGGCCAACTCTTCGCAAGGTTGGTTGGAGATTAGTGATAGGCCAATACCTTTCCGGAGTTTCAACACGACGTAGTACTCGTGCTGCTCTTTGGTACTCTGCAGTTGTTCATCGATCGACCGACGACCGGTTTGTTCGTGGAAAATGTGGGAAACGTGTTTCCAGGAAGTGTCCAGTGCCAGGGGACCGCCGGTTAGATTCTTTACGTCCTTGATTTGAATGCACTTGATAGGCCCATCCATTCGATAGGTCACCGATAGGCAGCCCGATCCGGGTCGCATCTTCTGACGTTCGATGGCCTGGTCGTAAGGGACTCCGAACCGATTCAATGCTTTGGTTTCCGATACGCACATTCCCAAAACTGCTTCGGATCCGGTCTGCAGTCCGAAGATTCCACCTCTGGCTTGAACGCACATATTCGAATGTTCGCACATCAACCGTCCTTCCTCCGTGAATCGCCACGTTTGGGTTGACTTTCGCTGTCTGTTTGCCGGGCGAACAACAAGATTGATGAACTGAGTCGGTTGCGGTGGTCTATCCAGATCCAGCACAAACCTCGACTGCTTCTTTCCAGGTTCACTCGGTGGCGAAGTTCCTTCATGTTCCAACTGCTTCTCGTGGTTCATCCTCCACAGTTGCGAACGATCGCCGGCCTGCTTCCGGACCAGGACCACCCGATTGTCTACCACTCCAAGCACTAACTGTTGTGATTCAGGGTCGTTTGCAGATCCGAACTCGAACGAAGGCGTTGCTACGAATGTTTGACTGAACGCAATGTAGATGAAGTTTTCATAGGTCAACCGGAAGTTGTCGAATCCATTGAGCGAGCAGTTTTCGAAGTCTCCGCCCGGTGCTTCCAGTTGTAGATATTTGTTCCCTTGTGGGTTGTCCAGAACGTATGCGATGGAACTGTGTGGTCTTACGTAGGACTTGAATTGGTTTCTGGCTGGTTGGTGGAATTTGATCGGCACTTCAGAATAGTTGTCCAACCGGATGGGAGGTGGCAGCGATTGGGCGTCACTGAATATCATGAAATATGTGGCTCCTTGCAGAATGGTTTCCAGACGGAGAAAATGCATCGCACCGTTGACGGTCCGAATGTTTATGTATAGGCTTTGGGTTTCGTAAATGGGGATACCCGAGGACCACAGGCATTCCTGGACTTCCGGAAGCCGGACGCACAGTTCTTGTTCTTTGTCCAACCGGGGCCAGTGGAAAGCTATATGGCAACCTGGAACGGCTTCGATGAAGTTGGATTTCGCTACCGGGTCGTAGACCGTGTCTGTGAAGCACTTCTGCAGGACCTGAAGCTTGTAGGAACTTCGATTGTACAGTTGATACCGAGGGGAGAAGGTAACGATGGAGGTTTGGTTGTAGCGGCCACGTGCCCGACGAACCTCGATTCCGATGATGAACGATTCGTTGCCTCCAACCAGCTGTCGATGTTTGGTGCCCTGATCCAGTTTGAACGGTTGACACCAGTTCAGGTATTGTCCGAAGCGCTTCCCGAGCCGCATGGTTAAGCAACCGGAGCTGGATGGATCCGAGAAGGCGAACATGAAGGGCGAAACCATCCGAGCTTGTTCGTTTTCCGAAAACTGACCAGCACTTTCGCAATCCAGATCTTCCTGTCGGAATACCAGCGGGATGCCAGTCCTGTTGATTAGCCAGAAGGGGGCACTGATGGATATCTGTATTCCCCTTCCTTTGACGATGTGGATGAATGCTTTGAGTTTCAGCATTCTGGTTTTGGTGTCGAACAGTCTCACATCCAGCTCGGTGGAACCGTAGAACCCAGCAGGGATACTGATCTGGCCTGCCTCTGGGTAGCTATCGAGGGTGATTGTCAGAGCCACCGGTTGTTCTACATCAATTTCGGTAATCTTAGCCGTTTCCGACGATGAAATTCGACCCTGTGCTCCGGATGGCAACTTGTACAGCAGATCACACGGAAGCAGGTTATGTATTCGCAACGGTGGCCAAATGGTAATCTGATGTCCTGGTAGAAGTATCACGTCCTTCGCCGGATATCCTTCCTTTCGGACGGATATCAGCATCCGGTAGGATCTATCCCGCAGTCCCCGGCAGGTTCTTAATTCTTGATACACCTCTCCCGTTTCCATCGCTTCGTTCCACCGGACGCCTTTGTCGGTGAACTGGAAGCCGTTGTTGGTGTTGAAGGATTTGTGAACGTCAAACTGTTGCAGAAGCGTCCAACCGTCGCTGGAATTGCTCAACTCTTCCGACCGGGAGTAACTGACATTGACTTCCTCTAGCAGCGTGACGTTCGCCGGAATCGGTCGGAAGTAAAGTATCGCGTGGACGTGCGTCAAAGGGATGTTCAACACTTCGTTCGAGTGCAGTATCTGGGTTTTCGTCTCCGGCCAGTTGCGGATATTGAGGTGACCGTACAGGTGTTCCATCTTGACTAAAACGGGATTGTCCAGCTTGTTGGTCAACTTCAGTGCGGATCGAACGGTAATTAGTTTTTGAGCGGAACCTTCAAGGGTTACGGCAAATACGACTCTGGCACGAGGAGTTTGCGAGTAGTCGTCGACTAGATCGGCCCGCGCGTGTCGGAAGTATGTTCCGACGCGATCGACCGATATTGGTCCCACTTCTTGCCAGCCGTCGGCCCGTACAGCTATCTGATGTAGGTTAAACTTGTGGGTGTCACGATGTCTTTGCTTACTTTTCGTTGAGTACGAAAAAGTGGACCTTTCTCCCGGATCGACCATGGTCCATTGGGTGTTGAGATCTGACAGGGCACTCGACCTTGACATTTCGGTGGAAACTAACGTGGTGTACCAAATCCGAACACCAGTATCGTTTCGGATTGCGAACGGAATAAACGGCGTTCGTCTTCGGTAATTCACGGGGCTTCTATTAGCTACATTAACATTAGAATTATAGAAATCCTGCGTCCAATTATCCTTAACTAGCTGGAACAAATCAATTAACGTACTGGTAATATTCAGTCTTAGCGTATCGTTGCTCTCAATCTTTAAGTTCAGTCGATTCCTGCTGCTTGCAGTTTGTCCCCGGCTGTAACCCCACTGGGCTTCGACTTTCCAAGGTTCAATGAGCGGTTCCCAGCCACTGAGCGCCCGATTGTAGTAATCACTAGCAAACACCCCAACCATCCGTCCTGCCTTGAACCCGGCGAAGGTAGTCGAAAAAGCTTCCACTGTCGTACCGCAATCCTTATCCGTTCCATCCACCGCCACCGTACACTGACCCAATTCCTGCCTTAGATCTAACTTACTCAACGAAAGCTCCACCAGCGGAACATCCGCATCCCGACAGTCATCAATCACACAAATTGATATGCAAGGTGCCTTCAGTTCTACCGCTTGCACACCGGTACCGCCCGCCTTCGGACCTTCGGCATCATACTTTTGAGGTTCCGAGTTCTGAGTCAACCAGAGCGCCGCCTCGTCTATCTGATATTTGCATTTATCCAGCGCCTGTAAGCAATCCTCTCGGTTAAACCCAAGCAAAACTAGCTTTTCCACAGCCGTACTGGTCTCCACACCTCCATCATCCACGCTGGCCTGCTTACTATCCCTGGCGTTCTTGGTTTGCCCCGGTAGGGATTCCAGCATGCGCTGAAACATCTTCACGTCGTGATAGGACAGACGAATGCACAGCTGCTTTTGCATCTGCACATCCAACACCCCTCGGCGCAGGTCCATGTTAACCGTAACGGGATCGATGATCGACAAGGCCGTACCATCCTCCGATCCGAAAACGCAGGAAAACACCTCCAAGTTGTTCAAGTTGATGGACATGGTTTTGTTCACCTCGAACGGACGGTACGATACGACGGTTGTACTCTGAAATAGGAAGGACGATCGCAATCATTCGAAGATAAATCAGTGTGGCTCAATCTTACCTTCAGAATCACAGCATTGGTATCGTTTTGATCCGTCTTCTCCACCAGCACCAACTCCGAATCGGTTATATTCAGCTTTAGCTCCATTTTATTCTCCTCCGTCGGGGTAGGAGCCCGTTTGCCAGCATCAACGGAGACTTCCCGCTCACCGGCGTTGATATCCAATCCGATCTGAGGCTGATCTTCCTGCTGCAGGATGAAGTCCTTCGCACTCTCCAACCAGTCCAGTATAGCCATCAGCCGCATATTGTTCAACAGAATGGTGAACTTTGTTAAATCTTGTCTCCTCCTGCTGTGGATCTCCGCCTGGACCTGGCCCTCGCCAGGATTACTCACGATCGGCTGCAGTATATCGGGAAATACATTTCGGATCTCATTCTGCGACTTGGTTCGTTCGAATCTCGTATCCTTGATCAAAATCTCTTGCGATACCAGATCGATATCCTGCGCCCCATCGCTCAGAGAATCCACCAGCAGTTTCGATTTGATGAAGTTAACACAAGCCAGTGGAGTGGGTCTCCGAGCGCTGTCAAGATTTTCCAACCGAACGGACACGTCCTGAAGCTCCAGGTGAATCGACAGGTTTTTCCACACTTCCTCGATCGGATCGGTGTCGGTGTTTAAACTTAAGGTACTATTTGGAATGTACATTGGCCGAAGGTACAGCTCGTCCAGCGCTTCGCCCAGGTTGTACGACAGGAAACCTCGTACTAACCGATACTGCTGCAGATCCAGGACAGCTTCCAGCCGGGAAAGAGTACCGTGCACGCTGATGTCTGGAACTGAACGGAAAGCAAAGAATTATTGATTGAAGATTTACCTCGTTCGGGATTAACACACTTACCATAGTGACTATTCCACGAGTCCATATTCCGTTCCACTTGCAGTTTGAGGTGGCACTTTTCCTTGAGTAAACTTGGTCCCTGTTTCACCAACCAGTAGCTCTTCAAATCAACTGCAGCGTCATCGAAATCAACCTGCCCCAGTCGGCCTTCCGGCTTGACCACTCGTCGCGCAGCAAAGATGTTCGTATGAAACAGATTGACATACATCACGTCCAACACTTCCTTCACGCTGGGATTGCTCGACACACTGATGACCGCCGGGTCACCGCTCATCCGGAACTCGTTTTTGAGTGTAAATTCACCCAAATCGGCCACAATTACCTGCTCACTGTTGAACGCCATCGGTAGAATCAGGATCGGCGCACCGGCATTGATCTCCAGTCCCAGCTGTGTTGGACGTTGCTTAAGATAGGCCTTCAAATCGGTGGTCTTGATCTTGCGCATAACGGGCTATGAAATATGGACAATCTATTAATGCATTTGATTACATACACAAACGAATAATTAAACCTACCGTTTGTAGTTGCGAGAACTCCTTGAAGAACAACTGAATCTCGGCGATGAACCTCTTCGTATGCACAAATCTCACCGACGACATCTCGATCTTCAGTCGGGCATCCTTCTGCAGGTTCCGGGCGTTCGACTTGGCCGAGTCTCGCGTGTAAACGAAACTTAACGCTTCGTTCCCTGTGGTCATGAACTTCTCCCGATAGATGAACCCATACGGGGTCAGATCGCTTAAGGTAATCGAACCCAGCTTTCCCTCGACTTGCTTCGCGTGGTTCCGCTTGGATACGGTAATCTGTGCATTGGAGACGTTGGCCTTTGCTATTTCGTAGCTTGGTTTCGCCAGCACCAACGACAGAGACCGCACAGAGATGTCCAACTTGGAATGTCCACTGGGAGGAGCTTTTTCCCGCAACGTTTGGTCTGACGAAGACTTTTGAGAACTACCGCTGCTCTCGTCGTCACTCAATAATCCGAAGAAGTTGAGCAGCACGAACCAACTCTCGACCGAAACGATCAGATCTAGACTGTTGAAATCGATGGAACTGGACTGCTGCAGGGAGTTGAACTCTTTCGCGAACGATGGACAAGCTGGATCTACCATAACGGACGTGTAGATGACGAGATTTTCCTCTTCTGTAGCGGTTGCTGATTGATTTTGCCGCTGCATCGATGGAGATGGTGGGGGAGTATCCGGACAGAGTGATTTGTTCGCTGCCAGGAAGTAGAAACCAGTTTTGTCGTCAAAGTTTGTCGGGAGGGAATTTGGCAGTTCTTCGACGTTTTCCAGTAGCCCGACAAGGTTTGGACAGGAGAACGAAGCGAACGAGGATGCGGGTCGGCCGGATTGGTCGTTTTGCGAGGATGACACCACCATGTAGCGGGTCTTGGCCGTATCCGGTTGTAGTAGATCTTCCATCATTAGCGACCGAAGAGACACTTTCACGTGCGTTTCGTAGCAATTTCTTTTATCAAACTGCACGGAAAAGTCCCTGAAAGAGATTTGGATTTGCGGTTCGTTGCGATTGTCGTTCAGCTGGGTTATGAAAGCTGGTAGCTCGAAGTGGAGCTTCAGATTTAGCGAAGACGGGCGCTCTTCGAAGCTACTCTGATACATGAGGCCTCGTCGGACCTTGTCCGTAATGGGATATGCATTGAACGACGATTCTTCGATTATTTCCGGGTGTTTCTCCAAAACGGAGGTCTCCGTCGGCGGTCGGACTAGGTCCTTTGGAATTTTGAACAGATTATCTATCGTTTCCAGCAGTTGTTCGTACTGCTGACGTTTCAGAGACACTCGCAACGGTTTCACTACACAGCCAAATATGTTGAATCCATCACTATCTACCTCGCAAGTGTCTCGGGATATCTCCAGAGAAAATATCGTGTCATGAATGATTGGTATTGCATTCTCTTTACATGAGTAGAACTCTTCCGCTCGAGGAAGAGCCGAAAATCTGAATCCCTTTCTGTTCGTCGTATCCAACGAGTAGAGATTGATATTCTTGATGTCTATTTTATAAAGGTCATAGTTCTGTATAACACTATCGATAAACTCCATCGAGTTTTCTTTGGCGAAACGAATCCGACTAGAATCATTTTCGTCTTCCAACGTATCGAACACTCCATCCAGATCGCTAAGATTGTATACGATTTGTTCCTCTACGCTGTTCTCCTCATTTATAATCGTAGTCGTCAGGTTGGTCTTGCTTTCATTCGAAGAACTGTCCTGCAGTTCCTGCGTATTGCTTACCGTTATGCGGCCCAAGTGGGCGACCAGCACCTGCGGACTGCTACTCGACCTGGGAAGGATCAATACCGGCGTCTCCAATGTGATGTCTATCTTTAGGGTGTACTCTGAATTTAGCAGAACTTCCTGCGTCTTGGACAGCGATACTGTGCGCTGCCTCCTGGCTCGTCTGGGCGAGTTGTATATACTCTCTGGTCTACTGCTGGTGAGCTCACTCCTTGACTGAACCAAACCGAGGGCCATGTCGGTTGCTTTGTCCCTAATCGATTTCGCCAGGTTCTTCAGGTAGTGCTTAAACTCCGAGGCGCACCAACTAAGCTCCTGCATAAACCTAGCGCAGTGAATGAACCACACCGAAGCCATCTTAACGCGAACATCTATCACTGCGTTGATATCTCTGGACACGCAAAAAGACAGTGCCTGCCTGTCCTCGCGTAGCCCATCTGCGGTCGACTTCTGCGGGACACCGTAGACTTCCTGTGCAAGAGAAGTCATCAGATCTGGTCCCTGGCGTATTTCTGGTGGGTCAGTCAGTGGGTCCTTGCCCACGGACAGAATTCGTTGATGATTGATACCCTCCGGAGTAAGATCCAGAATCTGAAGTCCTCCCAGCGACCCTTCGACGGTAACATACGAACCCAGCGATGCGTGAATCTTCGCCTCGGACATTGTAAACGTGCCTACCTTTCGCCCTACCATGTAGTTGTCCCTCATCAGTGCCCTCAAGACCAGCACATTTAACCGGTGAAAGTCGAATGTGATTTCCGTTCGAACAGGAGACGCTGAGGCGTCAATGGTGTCACTGGTGACGCCTACGGTAGCAGCAATCGATCCGGTGGAAGCATTGATATCCTCCGGTCTCGGCATTGGTCTGGTTTGTTCCGGCGGTTTGGGTGGTGCCTTAGGGATGACACGTTTGACAAAGCCGAGCAGTTCTACGATGGTTTCCTGATTGGCTGTGGGAAGACAGAAGAAATCAATTTGTGGAAAACATTCTCGACTTCGACAAGAGGATACTAACCGATAATGTCCAGGTTGTTGAACTGGATGTTCGCCATCTGTAGATTGTCATCGAGCTTGTCGCTGTTGACGAAGATGATCTCCACCGTGATCAGCGCATCTAGATCACCGAATTGAGAGGCATTCCACGTGGAAGAGGATGTTTCTGTTTAGAGGTGCACAGGCAGAAAATGTTGCATGCAAACCGAACCAAAAGCAGGTGATGCAAACGAAAGAGATGAACGAAACAAAATAAATCCATTTTATGAACACAGAAAGTGGTAAAATTATAAATCAATGAAACTTAATATATCAAACTAAATTATATGTAGGATCTTTAATTACAACAGATTATTTACAACCAACTCTTTTTTTTTGCGCAGGAAACCTCGAGTACTTTTTCAAAAGAAGCAATGTAACATTTCCGCTAAGTTGAAGTTCAACAGATTATTTTTTAAACTGTTTTTAAACAATACGTTTATCAAAATTATTTTTGCCGTAAACAGTGAATAATTACGGTGAACAGGAAAGGTACAATCACACTTTTATTTTGAATAACGTGCCTCAATATGGAAAAAAGCATATAAAGGGTGTCCACGATGGAATTGCCACACACAAAATTGATTCGCAAAATTCGAGTTTTCATCCGATTGCCATCAAATTTTCAGGGATTAAGAAATAACTATTAAACTTCATTTTACCATTTTACTCGTATTTTATTTACAGTCCATACGCAAATGCCCGCACCTTGGCCTTAACCCCGGCCATAAGATTCTGCACAACCTGTGAATCAACCGTTTTTTGCATGTAAACCCATACTTTCTTCAGTTCCCCGACTGTCTTCACTACCTTAGGTCGTTTAAGAAGGTGCTGCTTCATAATCGCCCAGTACTTCTCGATGGGGCGGAGCTCCGGAGTGTTGGGAGGGTTGAACATTTTCGGCACGAAATTGACCTTATTGTCTGCATACCACTTCAGCACGTCCTTGGAGTAGTGGCATGAGGCCAAATCCGGCCAGAAGATTGTTGGGACGTTGTGGGCCTTCAGGAAAGGAAACAGCCGCTTCTGGAGGCACTCTTTTATGTACACCTGTCCGTTCATCGTGTCCTGGGTCACGAAAGGTGCACTCCGCTTCCCGCACGTGCAGATGGCTTGCCAAACCAGGAATTTCTTCGCAAATTTGGACATCTTTTGAGTGCGGACATGCTCCGGAACGCTGAATTTATCCTTGGCCGTGAAAAACAGGTTGCCGGGGATCTGTTTGAAGTCGGCCTTCACATATATTTCGTCGTCCATGATGCAGCATTCAACTTTCGTCAGCATGTTGAGGTACAACTTCCTGGCACGGGTTTTGGCGGACTTGTTCTGCTTCTCGTCGCGATTAGGGGCCTTTTGTACCTTGAACGTTCGAAGCCCAGCCTTAGTTTTGGCCTTCTGGACAAAACTTCGGCTTAGGTGCAGCTTCTTAGCCACATCCCTAACGGAGGCGTTCGGATTTCGGTTGAAGGCCCCAACTACGCGGTTGTGATTTTTGGTGTTGTACGGAATACTTTTTCCTTCACTTCTGGGCTTCCGATCGGTGGTCAACCGTTCCTCGAACCGCTTAATCACTCGCGACACCGTGGAATTCGCGATTCCCAACGTTTTAGCGATGGAACGATGCGAGAGATCCTTGTTCTCGTGATGAATGCGCAAGATTTTATCACGCACGAGCTGTTCTTTCGACTCCATTTCCGCGAGTTTTGATCACAGGACTTTAAAACTTGCAGGATGTAAATAATGCACTATAAACTAAATCCACCCAAATTTTCATTAAATTCTACCCAACGGTTAAAAAGTTAGAGCAATTTCATAGTGTGGCAATTTCATCGTGGACACCCTTTAGGAAGTTTTGACCAATCAAGTTGTACTTCGGACATGTGATATTGGACCATTTTTCTCAATTACATAATAAATAAATGTTACATTGGACGTTTTGTTCTATATGATACTTGTTGAAACCCAGAGATAGAAGAGCCCGATGCAGGAACTCGTTTGAGACCCGATCGAACGCGTGGTCGAGATCGAAAGAGATCATTTTCCCTTTTTGCTTTCTCGCGGTTAGTTGTGCTACACGATCCTTAAGCGAGAGCTTGGAAGATGGATCGATCGGTGTTGGTACATTTTTGCGCGACGCTCAGGACTCGATGTGTCCGGAGAATGTGTTCCAGGCGGGTCTTCATCACGCGGGAGAGAATTTTGAAGTCGACGTTGAGCAGGCTCATCGGACGGTATGCTCTCGCTGTTCCATCGCTACCTCTCTTTTTAACCAGTACGATAGTGCCATCGGCAAATTCCGAAGGTAGCTCATCCGTCATAGCTTCATTGGTGACGAAGTAGAGCCAACAATCAATACGAAACTGACGATTTTAAATTGGCTCACTACTTGACTAGCCTATTGGTCCCAAGCAAACGATTAACGTACCCCGTTCTAGTCGAAATTCTAGTACTACGCAATGTTTGTTTAGATTCGCTATTAAAATTTGATAGATAAAATGAGGGGTTAGTGGACTTTCCTCTGTTTCGAGGGGTGAATCGATTAGCTTGGCACCGAAGAGAGTACCAGAGCTGAGTCAAAAAGTTGAGCACGTTATTTCGGGACCTTCTAGTCTTAGAGTTACCTCACTACCCAATTTAAAATCGTTAGTTTAGTATTGATTGTTGGTGTTACTATTATTTAGACTAGAATGGAGTATGTTGATCGATTTGTTTGGGACCAATAGGCTAGTCAAGTAGTGAGCCATTTTAAAGTCGTTAATTTTCACCGGTTCGTAAAACTCTACCGGTAAACCATCGATACCCGGCAATTTTCGTTTTTGTGACGTTCGGATGGCATTTTTCAATTCGTTGATGCTGATCTCTGCCACAAGAGCAGCGTTAGCTTCGTCGTTCTCGGGTACTGCTCTCTCGGTGTCAAACATCTCCTCCCCAACTTGCCTGGTCTCCTCCGCCGCATACAAGTACTTGAAGTATCGGAGCATGTGCTGCTCGATCTCCAGGGAGCCTTGAATTTGCTCTCCTCGCTCATTCTGCAGCCCTGTGATGATTGTTTTTTACGTCGTCTATCAAACAACCCAAACACATTCCAGGATATGCTCTCTCCAGCTACGAATGTTTCATTGATCCGAATGAAATTTTGTGCGAAGCGTCGCTGCAGCGTGAGCATTTTCGCTTTCACGCGGTTGATAGTCGTCAACATTTCTGGATTTTTCTAGTAGCCATCATACGCGAGCCTCAATTGCGCTTAGAGACGTTGGTATTCAGCGTTAAAAATGCTGAATGCTTCACTTGACTTCCAGCGGAAAAACGATTTAATTTTTGGCTTTGCGTATGAGATCCACCATGCCATCCAGCTGGGGAAATTCCTCCGTTGGCGGGTCCAAAACTGCCACCGGACTTGGAAATCATCGATGTTTTCGGCAGTCAAAAGATGAGGACGGAGGGACCAGAATCCACGTCCTTGTTCACGACCGAGGTGCGGAAGGTAAATTCGCGCTGTAAGAGCTTTGTGGTCTGTGAACGGACATACGTGTGTGGCAGCACTTCGCAGATGCTCGCAAAGCCCATAGCTTACATACATGCGATCGAGCCTGGATGCCACATAGTGCGTAACGTATGTGGGTGTGGGGCTGGTGGGGTATAGCTTCAGCCACAGGTCTTGAAGCTGCAGCTGCCGTACGGTCGCTTGGAGCGCCGGACTTGTGTTTCAACTCGTGGAGTCGCTCGGGCGAAGCACGCAATTAAAATCGCCAGCGAGGACGACGTGTTGCGTGTGCCGTTGAAGAATCTCTCTCTTTCCGCACGAGCAGCTGTCCCCGATGGCGCATATATATTACAGAGAGTCGTGTTTTGCATCCTCAAAGCGATGAGGCGGCCATCCAGGCTCTTCTCCACATGCGAGAATTGAATGTGGTCTTTCAGCGCGATTGCCGTTCCTCACCTTGCCTGGTCCACATTGCAGACAACGTTGAAGCCAGGGAGAGAGAGCTGATCATTCTCAACCTCCTGGAGGAAAACGATATCCAGCTGCAGCGTTCGTCCAAAGGTCCGAAGAGAGTCAATTTTCGTTCCGTTCGTGATATCGTTGATGTTGATGGAGGCGAGGTTGTAACTGGAGAACTCAGTCATTACGACAGTTGGTTACTCCCATCTCGCTTGTCATCGCAGTCGTTCTCCACCCGGGGCTTCTTGCCTGGTTATCGATTGCGGAGATGCCTTCTTGAGCTGGATGAGCCGACAGACGAATCTGTTTCGATGCCATCGGACTTGCCACTAGCAGTTTTGCGATCCACTTCGCTGCTAGCAGGGGGCTGTTGACCTGTAGAGGGAGTCAACGACCCGCTGTCCGATGGGGGAATCGAAGCCGAGGTAGAGGCTAGCGTGGGGAAATTCTGTTCGTTGCGCATCGGTGGTAACAACTTCTGTTGTCGGTGGGAAACTTGTTTCGGTGGCGGCATGGTAGCCGGGTTGACCGAGTTCGGTTCGAACCGGGGCCGTGCAGCTTGGTTCGAAGTTGTTTTGTTTTGATTCGCACAGATGCGGACACCGGTCGAAATACCAGGGAAATCGATATCGGCTCCACATCGTTGCTCTCGTACTGATATGACGTCACCATACCTTCCAAGAAAATCGGCGATTTTTAGTTCCGACACCTCGGACAAATCGAAGAGCCTCACCTCCACTGCTCCATCCTCCAGTGTGATCCTTAGCGGATACTTTTTTCCGTCGACGGTAATGTCGTGTTAGTTGTCATGTTCCTCGCAGATTCGTTGCGCCAACTCTACACGGAAAAAAGTTTTCATGTAGTTTCAGCTCGGAAGTTGAGCGCTCACTGGTATTAGGATCTCAAAAAAAAAAAAGAAAAAAATCTGGACGGAGCCTGGATCATTCTGGAGGGGCTAGACATCCTATTAGATACACCAATGGTTCCTTTCCGTAAAGTAAGATGGTGACCTTCAACGACGCGTTGATGGAGAAGGGGAATCCATGGCACTCCAATCCGATGTTCGTCCAAACTGGAGCCTCGCTGAGCATCGTCAGCTCGTTTTGGCACCCTCTCATTTTTCAGATAAGTCTTTCCGTCGCCAACCCGTGGACACACCCGTGTCAGACCTCAAGCCAGTCAGCCGAAGAAGAAGATCGAAGTCATTCCATGCCAGGTTGGGTCGTAGCAGTCATCCAGCAGATCAGGCAGTAGTAGCAGTGTAGCAGCATCGAGGAGGAGAAGACAGCCTACGTCATCGACGTCGAGGAACCGGCAGTAGTATCGAAGAAAGTGTTTAGATTAAATTTAAATCACAGAGATTCCAAGATAGGCGGAATTATAATTCACCTACTCTAAACTCTCACACGAAGCGATCAGGTCCCTATCACGATCCTCGAGTGAACAGCAGATAGGAGCAATATACACGATGTTCTTATCCTTCCAGTGACCGTTTTTGAGGACGAATAAATTCCAGTTAAGTTGTGATCAGTACCACTTTAGTTGCAAATAAACCACGTTTAATTATTTAATCCGGTGACGTTTTGAAGATTACAATCCGAAATCCGGTCGAAGTGTGATCCTGTGCGAACAGATGTATTTAAGACTACCGTAAGACGGGGTGACATTGGGCCTAAGGAGTAACATTGAACCAAAATTGAAAAATGTTTCTTGATTTTACCTACGTTGTTTTTCTTTTTAATTCTACTACTATTGTATCTCTTTTACTTTCACTAAATTCACTTTCATTTTCACTATCACTTTAAAACAAACTATAACAGATACGTATTTCGTTTACTACTTGCAAACTTCTTCAGTGTCTAGTCATAGTCTAGGAAGTCTATGAATAGACACTGAAGATGTTTGCAAGTAGTAAACGAAATACGTATCTGTTATAGTTTTGTTTTAAAGTGATAGTGAAAGTAAATAGTGAATTAGTGAAAGTGAATTAATGAAAGTGAAAGTGAATTAGTGAAAGTGATACAATAGTAGTAGAATTAAAAGGAAAAACAACGCTATAAGGCATACAATTATTCTACTAAAACGCTCATGAATCAATTTAGATGTTTCTTGATGCAAATATCTTGAATATACCGAAAATGATGACTAGAATGTTTCTTGAACTCCTGGAGTAAAGCGTAGATAATATTAACCAGTCGTTTTATTTAACTAGTGCTGTTTCTAAAAATGTCCACAGGCAACCAAAAGTTTGAAAACACTTTTATGTGGATAGACGAGAATTACACGCTATTTTTAGTCATACAAACGAAGTTCATTGTGATCATAACCAAGTGTACTCCTGATAGCTACGTTACATTTACATATTTAAAGATATTTTAACCATATTTATGTTTTGGCCCAATGTTCCCCCGCAAAAGGTTTTTCATTTGCCTATTTTTTTAAATTTAGTAAAATGAGATATGAATTTCAATCAACCATTCCCATGACAGCCATAAATATGTCATTGATGAATATATTGACATGCTTGAAATCGTTTTCCTTGCTAAAATGTGAACGTTGTTGGTTCATTGTCACCCCCACCTACGGTACTGTTTTAAATCATCAATGATTGAAACTATTATTTTTTCTGGTTAAGACCTTGAAAAAGCACTTTTCGATCCTACGCACAAAAGTTTGAGTCGGATAAAATAACTTAAAATCTAACTCACAATAATAACGTTTAAATTTTCGTAAAGCAAACCAACTGACTGGACTACGTAAATATAATCCATAAACCAGCAAATTACCTTTCTGCAAGTTGCTCAGCGCCTTGGAAATTGTCAGCGGACTCGTTGGCCGGCGGTATTCCGTGTTCGGATCTGGCGAGCCGGGCGAACAAGGAGAGCAAGGCTCGCTTTGACGGAGACTTCCCGATAGACTGTCCATTCTGAAAATGATAATTTGAGGTTCAGAGAGTACCGTTACGACTTCTCAATCAAGTGCAATCCCACGTACCCAACATGTCGATGACTGGCAATGAGCAGCTCGAAATCCGGTCCAAACGATTGCATTGCATCCGCCAGCAGCAGCCCATGCACGGACAGGGTCAACGTAACATCCTCCGGACGTTTGCTGTATCCTGCCTTTACGCCGGAAACCTGCAACTCGGCTACGCTTCTGCCCCGGGATTGCACCTCCAACGACATTTGATCGACCGTAAACTGAAAGACAATGATGTTTGCCGACTCCTTCTGGTAGGCCGAACTGCTGTCGGCAATGCTATCCTCATCAGTAGGAGGTTTAAGATTGTCGGATGCCGGTGCTTCGTCGGATTCTGGAACGTCAACGCTCCACACTTGGCCTGCTTTCGAAAGGTTATTGACGAGCGTTAGCAGTGTTGATACTTTGTATTCGTTGATATGAGCGTTCAGTTTTGGGAGAGTACCCGATAGGGTTAAACTAGGATACTGAGGATCACTGGTGTAGACCACCCGCCGTTCTACCTGCAGAGCTATGCTGAACCGATCCAATACGTGCAAGGTGGATGTTCCCTTGGTACTGGCAAAGTTCCACCGCTCCTTCCCTCGACACACAAGGACCTGTAGATCCGTTAGATGGATGTGGTAGCGATCGTACAGCTTTTGGTAGAGGGCGAACTCGTCGAGTGTATCGGCGTTGTTTAAGTTCAGCTCTGGTAGCTCGGAGAAGGCAGACTGCAGAGTCGGAGAGTGTGTCGTGCTGGCTTCCGATCCGGGAGGAGTCGAACATGGAGTCATAAATGCATCCTCATCATCATTTTCGTTGGTAATTTCCGGAGATATTTCGCTATTGCCAACTTTCTTACCCAGGGCAGATCCCGGAAATGGTTTATTACCGTTCGTCAATTGGAGCCGACCGAAATCTACGACCACGATCGTACTGTTCTGCCGGTCGGCGAAGTTGTCTACAAAAATGATCTGCGGAGCGAAGATGTCGAACTCCAAAGTCCAGGTTTTTCTAGTATTGAGATGTCCCTCGAGGATGTTCTTCACATTACGCATGAGTTCCATTTTCGTTTTGTTCTTCATGTCTTCCAGTTTTCTTCTGGTGTCGTACTGTTGGTGAGGCTTGGTTAGAAAATCTACCAACCATTTCACGGCATCCGTATTGTAAACGATATCCAGCGATTGGGATTTCACCATCAGTCGATAGTCAGTGTCGTGTGATAGTGGTTTTCGTTCGTATTGCACTTCGAAAATGGGTTCCGCTGGGGATTGTTGTAGTGATAGGCTTCTTGATTTTACCGGACCACCTTTGGCGCTGATTTGCAGCTCTTCCTTTGCCTGTGGTTTAACCAGGTCCGGGAATTGTGAATTTGGTGTTATTCGATCCTTGATCAAGATGGAACCTAACGATAGACTAAGGTAGTGCGACCCACTTCGTGGCCTTGTTTCTACATCTAGCTTAAGATTTTGGAACTGAAACTGTAGCTTTGGTGTCATCTCGAGGGCACTGCAAAAGTCCATGGTCCCTTGCCTGAGCACAAAGTTGAACCTACCGAAAACGGCGTCCCGTTTGAGGAGCGAATTTGTATCGACCGAATCGGAGAGTGCATTGAGTATTTCGTCCTCGAAACTGCTGACCGGACTTAAGTCTTCTTCCGGGCCCCAGTTTTGGTCAAAAGGATCATCATTTTGGTCCGGTGTGGGAGGCGACTCCGCAGCATTTGCATTGTTATTGTTGTACCATCCCCACCACTGGGGAAAGAAATGAACCAACATATTCTTGCCCTGGTTAAGTTGTGGTGATTTGCTGTCCAGGGACGGCATTCGTATCATACAAACATCCCTCAGCAATCTGAGCTCGTCAAAATCCCGCTCCCGCTCTATCCGGTCTTTGAAAGTCTTGTTCTCACTCGAAAGTACTTCATTCGGATTCGCAACCACCCTACCGTACACGCTAATGTATCGCAAATTTTCCTTAGCTATCACAAATGGATCACTCTGTGTGTGCCGGAGAAGCCCATGACAACGGACAGCATAGTGCCACCATGCCTTCGGATCTTCCTGTACGGTGCTGCTCGGTCGATGCAGCTTGAAACGACGATACCGAGCGATGTCGTCCAGTCCACGAGCGCATTGCATCATCTGGTTGTATTGGATCTGTAATTTATTTATTTTTGTGTGAATCGAGCAATTTGTCATTTAACTAATTCAATGTTCGACGTTATCATATTAGTTTATCGTCGAAAAACATTCCTATCTTATCATACTTACATCACTCAGCGTAATTTTAATTTCGTCCCATATCAGGTCGCATACCAATCGGGGCCGACTGCGGGTGCGAAGCGGTGTCTCACTGCGGTCCCGCTTCAACTGAGCCTTGGCACTGATCGGGTTGATGATGTAAACCTGCTCTTCCCGGGCCAGTGGATCCCAGTAAATGGCAAAATTGGTCAGCTCAACCAGCTTGAACGTCACCTGCTGCTGACTCCAGTTGGACGTTTGCCCGGGAAACCAGTTTGAATCGCAACTCTGCGCCGACAGGGCTTCAATGTTGATTCCGCATGCAAACTTCTGGTTCGGGATGGTCAGTCCATCCTCGTAGCGGATGTGTATCCCATTGACCTTTAGCTGCAGGTTCTCGATGATGTTCGTCACCAGCGACGTACCGTAATTGAGCCATCCCGAATAGGACGACGCGTAGTAGCTCCCTTCGGTAACGGGTGTCTCCCGTTGTGCTCGCCATTTTGCTTCCAAACGATCCAACGATGCGATTTTGAAGTCAAGCTCGGCTTGCTGTTCGATTTCCGGGTTCCATTCGGTCAGATCGATTGGACCGCACACTACATTGACGTTGTCGATGATGAGACACCATGATGCCGTTCTAAATTGACGCACCGGAACGGTTAGCTTCACCTTGCCAATTGTACCGCTGAGGATTTGTAGCGGAAGTCCCAGATAGCGGAGAGCATCCTTGCGCAGGGGTAGGTTCTCGAGTTCAACTTGACCTAAAAAAAAAGAAAGTTTGTTCGAAATGAGCTGAGGTCCTTAGCACTCTGAGAGTTCAGTTTTTGTCAAACCACTGCAATATATTGGACCACTAAGGGCACTTAAGTAGAATCAGAAGGTAATAATAGAGAATGAGTCTTACTGTAACGTATTTGTTTTATTGTTTCTATGAAAGTTGTGAAAACGATTGCAAAACAATGTGTTTTGGAAGGAAGACCATTTTAACCGATTTTGCATTAATTCATTAGTGGCCAAGTGAATAAAGACTGTACTCGAAAAAAGTTAGACACATTGATTAGTTTGTTACCTTTTTAGCGTTAGTAAAAATTGATGAAATTTTGACTGCTAGCTAAAAGTATAATGTTTACGCTGGCAGAATTTCGTCACAATCTGTCAAGTGGTTATCAAGATCATCGGAGCAAGAGTAAATCCACCAAAAAATCTGTGCCGTCGTCGAAAATCCGACTGCGTCCCACAGATGGATCGGGAAACACCTGGGAATCCATCATTCGACGAGTTCCCGAGTGGTGAAGTCATTCAAGGAGACCCAGACGACACAGTGGCGGGCAGGCTGCGGCAGAAAACCGAAAACAGCTGATCCGGTGAAGGCCAGGAAGGTGTTGAGTCTGTTCAAGCGTCGGCCGAATTTTTCGATCCGCTATGCGGCGAAGAAGGCGGATTTTTCCATCTGGTTTGCCCAAAAAACAATGAAACGTGCCGGCATCCACGTCTACAAGGTCCGGGAGGCACCGAACCGGAACGACAAACAAAACACTGACGAAGCCGAGGTGCGTCGTGATGGACGACGAGACATACATCAAGGCGGACACAAAGCAGTTGCCGGGGCAGGAGTTTTACGTTGCCACATAACGTTTGGCCGTTCCTGAGGAGGTAACCAAGAAGAAGGTGGACGAATTCGCCAAAAAGTTCTTGGTTTGGCAGACCATCTATGGGTGCTGCAAGATGAGCCAGCCATACATCATGACGGGTACCAGCAACGGGCAAATCTACCGGGACGAGTGCCTCCTTCTCTTCCTCCGGACTCACGGAGGCGAGACGCTATTTTCGAGGCTATTTTGGATGGATTTTGCATTCTGCCACTACGTGCGGCCGGTATTAGACTGATACAGAGACAACAATGTTGTTTTTGCACCAAAAGACGTCAACCCACCGAACTCGCCGGAACTTCGCCCTGTTGAGAAGTTTAGGGCCATCATAAAGGCCGGACTTCGTAAAGCCAGGACGGGACTTGACAATCCAGCGTCTCACTCTTCTTAATTTTTTAGATGTATGCCCATCGAAAATTAATGCATGATGTTTGACGGGGTTGACCAATGATGCCAGGATTGCAGAATGATGTTTCTATTTTAATTTTAATTTGATTCGGAGTTTCTACCGCAGTACGCCTTGTACATCATTTTTGCTTAACACAATAAAAACAACCATAAACAAACAAGAATATCCATCGCATATCCAAGCACGCCGTGGACCCTACTTTCCAACTTTCCTTTCGCAAATATAAACAATTAACAACGCCATTGACGTCATCATTGATTCCGGCATCACTGCCAGTCAGATTGATGTGATCCTTCTGTCCTTTTTATTCCACGATTGCTACTGTCAAATCGATCAATCAGCAACTGGCTCGGATTTGACAGCAAATTTGCTCGAAATCGCTACCCGATTGTCAAGTCCCGTCCCAGTCGTAAAGCATTTAAGGTGCTGGAGAACGAGCTGGTTGATTAATAGATTTCATTTATTTATGGGGTGTTTACACTTATGCTATTTCACTAGCGCTAATAGGCTAGCTGCTAGCAAAAATTCGTGCTAGTTGGCAAGTACACTAACGCTAGCAAATCCGCACAGATGTAAACACCCCATTAGGAAATTTTCAGCCACTGGCTGGTTCATCTCCGCACAGAACGAGCTGGCTTTAAAGCAACAGTGGGTAAAAGTATCAAAAGAAGTTGACTCCACCATTGCCCAAACCCAAGGGGGGAGGCAAACACATCTAAATCTCAATTCTAGATGCTAAAAAAATCTCACACTAGCGAATAAATCTTCGAAAAATCTTCTTTCATTTCTCGTATCTCCTTGCATCGTGCATCATCTTTTCGCAGGAAATCTTCAAAATCGTGATAAATCTTCTTTCTATCTACTCAGCGTACGCGCAGCTAGTCAGAGCAAAACACAATATTTCATGCACCGTAGATAGAGTCGTCCCCCTCGCCCAAAACCGGAGTGGTGTCAAGGGCAAGGCGCGGGCATTCGGTTATACAGCGGAGATCCTATAAAGCAATGAAGTGGAAACCTAACCATAATGTAGTTTTTTTATTCCATGAACGTTTGAAGAAAATCCGACCTAAAATGAATTTTTGGCGACCATTTTTGTGTGTCTCACGAGGCTACAAAATGGTGAGCTGACAACCTGGAAGGAGAGTTCTCGCGTCACTTTTCAAATAGACCAATGTAACAAATGTAAACAAATCGAGTTAAGCGATACAAGCTATTGCTCTTCTATCATTGTATGTGATACAAAAACACCCATCCAAATTTACTTTCATTTATTTAAGAAAATCATCGATCAAAAATTGTCCAATGTACAGTTTGAAATGATGGGTATATGATTGTTTTTTTTTTTTTTTTTTTTTTTTTTTTTTTTTTTTTTTTTTTTTTTTTTTTAACTCTTTATTTGTTCCAAATTCAAAATAAATTACATTTCATTTTAACCTAGGTGCTCCAGTTACTGCAGTAACGTACCAGCCTTAATTGTTATGATATATATCTAAGTGTTTTTACATTGTTCATGTCTTGGCAATTCAGTATTTTAAACAGGTTTTTTAACCTGCATGTCAGTATAACAATTGATATCTTAAAACTAAAAACTAAAACTAAATCTTATCTAAGTATAAAGGGAATTAATCGTTGCAATTGAGGATTGCAACGATTTTTGCCTGAAATTATTAATTATTTTGTTGGACATTTGTGCTAAAGTCTCAACATTCGAAATTCTATGTACTTCGGTTGTACTGTACCAGGGAGGCAACTTCAAAATCATTTTCAGAATTTTGTTCTGAATCCTTTGAAGTGCTTTTTTCCTGGTAGTGCAGCAACTAGACCATATTGGCACAGCGTAAAGCATGGCCGGTCTAAAAACTTGTTTAAATATTAGAAGTTTATTCGTCAGGCAAAGTTTGGATTTCCTGTTTATAAGAGGATACAAACATTTTATATATTTGTTACATTTGGCTTGAATGCCCTCAATGTGATCTTTAAAAGTTAATTTTTGGTCAAGTATTAATCCAAGATATTTCACTTGGTTTGACCAGGAAATTGGAACTCCGTTCATAGTGACTATGTGACTACTACTAGGTTTCAAAAACGAAGCTCTAGGCTTATGTGGAAATATTATAAGTTGAGTTTTGGAAGCGTTGGGAGAAATCTTCCATTTTTGTAAATAAGAAGAGAAAATATCTAAACTTTTCTGCAGTCTGCTGCAAATAACACGAAGACTTCTTCCTTTAGCGGAAATGCCTGTGTCATCAGCGAACAAAGATTTGTGGCAACCCTGAGGCAAATCAGGGAGGTCCGAAGTGAAAATGTTATACAATATAGGCCCAAGAATGCTACCCTGAGGAACTCCTGCCCTAACAGGTAGCCGATTAGATTTGGAATTTTGATAATTTACTTGAAGAGTTCTGTCAGTTAAATAATTTTGAACTAATTTCATAATATAAAGTGGAAAATTAAACTTTTTCAATTTAGCAATCAAACCTTCATGCCAAACACTGTCGAATGCTTTTTCTATGTCTAGAAGAGCAACTCCAGTTGAGTGGCCTTCAGATTTGTTTGAACGAATTAAATTGTTAACTCTTAAGAGTTGATGAGTAGTTGAATGCCCATGGCGAAATCCAAACTGCTCATCTGCAAAAATTGAGTTCGTATTGATGTGAAGCATCATTCTATTCAAAATTATCTTTTCAAAAAGTTTACTTATTGAAGAAAGCAAACTTATTGGACGGTAGCTAGAAGCTTCAGCTGGATTTTTATCCGGCTTCAAAATTGGAACAACTTTTGCATTTTTCCATTTATCAGGAAAGTATGCCAAATGGAAACATCTGTTAAATAATTTTACCAAGAAAGACAAGGTACTCTCTGGGAGTTTTTTGATGAGGATATAGAAAATTCCATCATCACCTGGAGCTTTCATATTTTGAAACTTTTTAGTTATAGACCTTACTTCGTCCAAATCAGTCCCCCAGGTATCATCAAAAATATTTTCCCGAGAGAAAATATTCAGAAAATCCCGAGCAACCTGATTCTCAATAGGACTAGTAAGACCCAAACTGAAATTATGGGAACTCTCGAATTGCTTAGCAAGTTTCTGAGCTTTTTCCAAATTTGTGATCAAAATTTTACCACCTTCTTTAAGCGCTGGAATAGGCTTTTGAGGTTTTTTCAAAATTTTTGTGAGTTTCCAAAAGGGTTTGGAACTCGGGTCTAATTTAGAAATATTATTTTCAAAAGTTTTGTTCCTCAGGGCAGAGAATCGCTTTTTAATTTGTTTTTGCAAATCCCGCCAGATAACTTTCATGGCAGGATCGCGTGTTCTTTGATATTGTCTCCTACGGACATTTTTAAGACGGATCAAGAACTGAAGATCATCGTCTATTATAATTGAATCGAATTTAACCTCGCATTTTGGTACTGAGGCAGCTCTTGCTTCAACTATAGAAGTAGTCAGAGATTCAAGAGCATAATTAATTTCATCTTTGGTTTGCAAAGGAATGTTTGGATCGAAGTTATATTCCATAAATGTTCGATACTGCTCCCAATCAGCTCTATGGTAATTGAAAGTAGAGCTGTTGGGATTACAAATTATTTCTTGGGATATTTCAAAAGTTACTGGAAGGTGATCAGAACCGAAGTCAGCATGGGTAACCAATTGGCTACAAAGATGACATGAATCAGTTAAGACCAAATCAATAGTTGAGGGATT